ATCACGTGGCCCCGGGACGCTGTGACCGTCATAAATATGAACCAGTTGCCAAGCATCCAAATTTTGACCACGTGGTTGTTAAGTGTGAAAACCGGTCATAAGTCACTTTTTTCAGTGCCGTTGTAAAGTCGAGGACTACCTCCAATGCGCTAAGGCAGGGATAGGCAACCTTGGCTCTTTTATGATTCGTGGACTTCAACTCCCAGAATTCCTGAGCCAGCATGGGGGAACTATGGCCCCTTCATGACTTGGGGACTTCAACTCCCAGAATTCCTGAGCCAGCATGGCTCAGCTTGGAAACCTCTCCCTTTCCCCTCAGCATGGCTGGCTCAGGAATTCTGGGAGTTGAAGTCCACGAGTTATAAAAGATCCAAGGTTGCCTACCTCTGCGCTAAGGGCTACTTACGACCCAGATTCAAAATTCCAACAGGCAGCCCCCCTGACCCCAAGCTTATGGCAACAGCTGTTTGACCACAATTTATGTTTTTGCCAGAAATCAGCGTTTACTTCCATTTTCCAGCAAAAATACCCTTTGTAGACAATGGATTTGCCTAACGACTATGGCGTTCACTTTATAACAGCCGCATTCACTGCTGCAAAAAAGGTTGCAAAATCAGGCACAGCCATGTGGTGATCCACTTAATGGCTGTTATGACTAATTCCTGTCTAATTATGGTCGTAAGTCCAAGGACTAGTAGTACAGTGCTGGTCCCTTGGTTAATTAAAAAAAAAAAGAGGGACTTTCCTGCATCCCAACTGGTGGCACATTGTCACATTTATTACAAAGGGCCATCACTAACATAATAAAAGGTTGGTTTCTGGTTGAATTGAGAATTTATTTGCTTTTTGTCGGAAGATTTCCAAAGGCCAGTGAAAGAGACGAATAATATCTAGGAAATATATCTTACCATTGATAGGTGTCTTCAAGCTTCAACCTGCAGAAACAACAAAAGAATATTTTCTCAGCCAGAGGAAAGAATGCTAGGAAGTTGGCAAAAATATCAGGTTTGCATGCTGCCCAGAGCTGAACGAAGAGATGGCATATAAATAATATTATAATTAAATGAATATCAGCGTTGACGTTTTGTAGCCTCTTAAAGATGTTCAACTGATTACAGCTAGGGTCATCTCTAGCCACAATGGGCTTCCACAGTTTTAAGGTGCCACAGAATATGGCTTCACTTTAAACACAAAGACACTGAAAGAATTGAAAAGCCCCCTTTTTTGTGTGTGTTCAGACATTGAGTTTAAAAAGAGCAAATTTACGGACAAAGGTGATCCTTTTTCTCAGGCCTGCAAACTGTGAATTTTGCTCCCAGCAGATTTGATGACAAATTGGTGAAGGATAACAGGGAAGAACGTAATCACGAGGGTTATGAATGAAGCTGACTCACAGCCGAATCCAGGAGCCTGTCTTTGAAAAATGGAAGGAATGATGGACACAGATCACAGAATCAAACGTGGAACCAGGAAATTGGAAGGATCTTCAAGGAGCGCAGAGGATATAATAATAATAATAATAATAATAATAATAATAATAATAATAATAATAATAATAATAATAATAATAATAATAATAATAATAATAATAATAATAATAATAATAAAGTTGGAAGGGACCTTGGAGGTCATCTAGTCCAACCCGCTGCTCAGGCAGGAAACCCTATACCATTTCGGACAAATGGCTGTCCAGTTTCTTCTTAAAATCTTCCAGTGTTGGAGCATTCACAGCTTCTGGAGGCGGGTTCACCACTCACCACTTCTGGAGGCAGGTTGTTCCACTGGTTAATTGTTCTAACTGTCAGGAAGTTTCTCCTTAGTTCTAGGTTGCTTCTCTCCTTGATTAGTTTCCACCCGTTGCTTCTTGTCCTGCCTTCAGGCGCCTTGGAGAATAGCTTGACTCCCTCTTCTTTGGGGCAGCCCCTGAGATATTGGAACGCTGCTATCATGTCCCCCCTCGTCCTTCTCTTCGTTAAACCTAAACTTTCTTATGTAAGAAAAACCCAATGAAACCATCTATCGTAGGGGTCCCCAACCCCTGGGCCGTGGCCTGGTCAGAACAGGGCCGCAAAAAGCATTGGGCAAGTGTGCATGCACGCACAGTTCCACTCCTGCAGGCATTGGACACTTGTGTATGCTCGCAGCTCCTCTCCACTTGCACAAATGGTGCTTGGCGTGCACATATGGGCACTTGCCACTTGCACAAAACCATGCTCTCTCTTCTCCCCCCCCTTTGCCGGGCCGTCAAGCTGGAAAAGTTGGGGACTGCTGATCTATCGCACCCCTTGCCTTATCAAACTGCTTTTTCTCTCTCCTTCAGTTCAATCATGTAGGATGGTCAGAGACTGCCTGGAGAAGTCCCTTCAGTTTTCTTGGCAAGGTTTTTCAGAAGTGGTTTGCCAATGCTACGTTTTTAGGGTCAAGGGACGGTGACTGGCCCAAGGTCACCCAGTTGGTTTGGTGCCTAAAGGCGGAACTAGAATTCACCATCTCCTGGTGATTGGCCCAAAGTCACCTGGTGGGCTTTCATGCCTAAGGTGGGACTTCAACTCAACTGTCTCCTGGTGATTGGCCCAAAGTCACCCAAATGGCTTGCATGCCTAAGGCGGGACTAGAATTCTCCATCGCCTGGTGATTGGTTCAAAGTCACCCAACTGGCTTTCGTACCTAAGGCAGGATTAGAACTCACCACCTAGCAGTGATTGGCCCAAAGTCAGTTTTCATGCTTAAGGCGAGACTAAAACTCCAGTATACCAGTTTTTAGCCTGAGGCCTTATTCTTATTCTTAAAATAGAAAAAAAAAATGAAATTCAGAATTTTGAAGATTTAATAATTGGGTAGTTGTAGAACTGGCTTGTAATAATTATAGGTAATGTACAAAGTTGAGGTTGTAACTAATTTACAGGGAGTCCTCGACTTACAACAGTTCATTTAGTGACCGTTCAAAGTTACAACGGCACTGGAAAAAGTGAGTTATGACCATTTTTCACACTTATGACCACTGCAACATCCCCGTGGTCACGTGATCAAAATTCAGACGCTTGGCAACTGGCTCGTACTTATGACGGCTGCCATATTCCCGGGGTCATGTGATCACTTTTTGCGACCTTCTGACAAGCAAGTCAATGGGGAAGCCAGATTCACTTAACAACTGTGTCCCTAACTTAACAATTGCAATGATTCATTTAATGACTGTACGAGAAAGGTCGTAAAATGGGGCAAGATTCACTTAACAAACGTCTCGCTTAAACAGAAATTGGTCGTATGCTGAGGATTACCTGTTCTGTCTGGGAAAGAGTTGGAATCAACACTTTTTTTCTTTTCTCCTTTTTTTTTTTTAAAGAGCTCTGCATTTCCTCCTCTTTTTTTTTCTTAATCTTTGTTTTCATAATATTTTATGTTACAATAAGGCTCAATGAAACACATGAGGACTGGCCCTGAGCACAAATGGGTCGATCACGTGCTATCAAGTGACTCTTACTGACCAGGTAAGATTATAGAGAATTGCAGAGATAAAATTGGAGGAGAGAGAAGGCAAGAACTGTTAGCAGAACTATTAAGAGATAATAAAGGAGAAAGTAAACAACAGCTCAGCCCCAAAGGAGGGTGTGTGAGAAATAACCACACCTTCAATCTGGCTTTTTCAGAAGGACAGTATTTGATCAGCAGGAGAAGGCACGGCCTGCCAAATTGCTGGGGGGGAAATCCCTAAGTGCTTTGTGGAATCCTGTGCAACCCATTTGATGCTGGGCGTGGAGCCCTTTTGCAGAAGAATCGCTGACCCACAGCTTGACAGAAAAGCTGAACCACCACCCCAGAAAAAAAAACTAGCACGGCGCATCCACAAACATCAACTAGCAGTCAGAAGTCACGATGAAAAAACTCCTTTAATTTCATAACGTACGGGCAGACTCGATCAGGGTTTCAACTGGGAAACCGTAGACCTACGAAGAACGGCTGCGAGACTTGGGTTTGGCTAGTCTAAAGAAAAGAAGAAATAGGGGAGACACGATAGCAGTCTTCCAGTATCTGAGGGCCTGCCACAAAGAAGAGGGGGTCACGTTATTCTCCAAAGCACCAGAGGGCAGGAGGAGAAACAATGGTTGGAAAGTGATCAAGGAGAGAAGCAACCTGGAAGTAAGGAGAAACTTCCTGACAGTGAAGACAATTAACCAGTGGAACCGCTTGCCTCCAGAAATCGTGGGCGCTCCATCACTGGAGGTTTTTAAGAAGAGGCCAGACAATCACTTGTCTGAGATGGTATAGGTTCTCCTGCTTGAGCAGGGGGCTGGACTAGAAGACCTCCAAGGTCCCTTCCAGCTCTATTCTATTCCATTCCATTCCATATTTTCTTTTCTATTCTATTTTTCTATTCTATTCTATTCTATTCTATTCTATTCTATTCTATTCTATTCTATTCTATTCTATTCCATATTTCCTATTCTATTCTATTCTATTCTATTTCTATTCTATTCCAATTTATTCCATTCCATATTTTCTATTCTATCCTATCCTACTCTACTCCAAAGTAATTCGCCCAAATACTAGAAAAATCATAGAAGCTTGGCATTCAGACAAATGAGCCATCAAAAGACACACAGAGATAAAGCACATTTATACAACATTCAAAAGAGACGATGAAAAAACGAAGAAGGAAACAAAAAGACCATCACATATTTATTTATTTATTTATTTATTTAATTTATATCCCGCCCTTCTCCTTACGGACTCAGGGCGGCTAACAACCAGATAAAACACTAATCCCCAAAAACTACAAATTTAAAAACATAAGTAAAAACAAATATTAATAATTTGGTCAAATTAATTTAAAAATTGCTTTAAAACCCCATTAAAATTTTCCCCTAGGCCAGTCNGGCGGAAGGAAGGGAGATCAGGGATCACCCTGATCTCTGGGGGTAGTTCATTCCAGAGGGTGGGAGCTCCCACAGAGAAGGCCCTCCCCCTTGGGGTCGCCAGCCGGCACTGTCTGGCCGACGGCACCCTGAGGAGACCCACCCTGTGGGAGCGTACAGGCCGATGGGAGGTAATCTGTGGCAGAAGGCGGTCTCGAAGGTATCCCGGTCCGCTGCCATGGAGCGCCTTAAAGATGATGGTCAGCACCTCCTGCAGCAGCCTATACCCAGATAAGCATGGATTACGACAAGACAAACAACCAAGCAGAAAAGAGTATCCTAATGAAGGAGAAAAACTACGCTCCGCCAACACAGCGCTACAAGCTGATCTATAAAAACAGGGAGCCAACTCCGGACTCACCAGCCCTGATGATATTACGTAGCTGGATAGTGAAATGTCTGCAAATATCTTACACAAGAATCCGTGACCCGTAGTTTGACACGCAAGGATAGATGAAAAACTCTCCAAGAGGAAGGCAAGGCCAATCGGAATTTGCAGTTCCAAAAAAAAGCATCAGAATATCTTGTTTCTCAAAACTGCAAATCCTTCCCTAATCCAAATTCAGCCGCGCACAAAAACAGGAGTCTGAACATCGCTTTTGAAAAAGAGACCTCAAAGAACACCTGAACTGAAGACACCATACAGGGAGTCCTCGACGTACGACGACCGCTGAGCCAAAATTTTCTGTTGTTTAGTGACACATATGATAAGGGAGTTTTGCCCCATTTTGCGACCTTCCTTGCCAGAGTTGTTAAGTGAATCACTGCAATGGTTAAGTTAGTAAGCCAGTTGTTAAGTGAATCTGGCTTCCCCACTGACTTTGGTCGCAAAAGGGGATCCTGTGACAGTGGGACACAGCAACGGTCATAACTATGAACAAGTGGCCAAGCATCTGAATTTTGATCACGTGACCCTGGGGATGCCGACACAGTCCTAGATGTGAAAAATGGTTCTAAGTCACATTTTTCGATACCGTAACTTTGAACTGTCACTAAAGGAACTGATGTAAGTCGAGGACTTCCTGCATTGTAATCTACCTAGAATAGATGGGGATCACAAGCAAACAGATTCCCCAGAAGTCCTCTCCTGCCTGGGCCCCCTACCTCTTCTTTCTCCTATATACATTTCTGATGTCTTTCAGAAAACTCTTTGATTACTTATTAAGGGGTTCCCAGCCCCTTCCCCAACAGCCGGGCAGAATAATCCCCCCGCTACCTTTGTAAGCGAGATTGCAGAAAATCCACGCGATCTTCTCTCAAACTCCCACCGAAAAGTTCTCCACCTTCTGGGACCAGTAGATCAACCGCTGCTACCTTGTAGGGGACAGAAGGTGAGACGTTTCTATGAAATCTCTCTCTGTGTGAAGGTACAACAGCACCTGCCCTCCGGCTAGTCTCCAGAGGCATTCCTGAACGGTTAAAGGTAAAGGTAAAAGGTTCTCCTGCTTGAGCAGGGGGCTGGACTAGAAGACCTCCAAGGTCCCTTCCAGCTCTATTCTATTCTATTCTATTCTATTCTATTCTATTCTATTCTATTCTATTCTATTCTATTCCATTCCATTCTAATTTCTTATTCTATTCTATTCTATATTCTATCCTATATTCTATTCTATTCCTATTTCTTATTCTATTCTATCCGCTATATTCTCTATATAACTATTCTATAATTCTATTCTATTCTATAATTCTATTCTTATTTCTTATTCTATTCTATATTTATCCTATATTCTATTCTATTCTATTCCTATTTCTTATTCTATTCTATTCTATTTCTTATTCTATTCTCTATCTTCTCTATCTTCTCTATCTTCTCTATCTTCTCTATCTTCTATTCTATTCTATTCTATTCTATTCTATTCTACTCTATTCTATTCTATTCTACTCTATTCTATATTTTACTTCAACTCCCAGAATTCCTGAGCCATCGTGGGGGAACTATGGCCCCTTCATGACTCGTGGACTTCAACTCCCAGAATTCCTGAGCCACCCACGCTGAGGGGAAAGGGAGAGGTTTCCAAGCGGAGCCATAGTGGCTCAGGAATTCTGGGAGTTGAAGTCCACGAGTCATGAAGGGACCATAGTTCCCCCATGCTGGCTCAGGAATTCTGGGAGTTGAAGTCCACGAGTCATGAAGGGGCCAAGGTTGCCTACCCCTGGTCTACCTGATAAGGCTGACACCCTTACTGTCAATCAACTTTTTCTCTTTCCTTCCGTCTAACCTAGCATTAAGCAGCCCCCAAATGCAATCTAAGCATCTGTCAGCAGAAACCAAATTTCATCTCCTAGAAGACAATTTATTTCATTCCAAAAAGCTTAAAAGGGCAAAGCAAGAAACCAAGAGGACATGTCTGCCTTGATCAAAGCATTTTAATTAATAAGTTCTTACAGTCCTACGAGGTCCATCTTCGTTGTCTCGCATGTAGAACGGCTTCAGATCATAGGGATAGTTGTACACAAAAACGGGAATGTCGCCACAGTGTCGCACCAGGTACTTCTCGTGTTCGCTCTGGAGATCCTGCCCCCACTAAGAAAAGAGGGTTGTTGTTTTTTTTAAAAAAAAAGCAAGTTGTAAAATGAACAAACCCTAATAATCTCAAGTCGCTTTAGGTTTGCAAACTACTTGAAAGCATGGTGAAGCTGGCTGAGGAATTCTGGGAGTTGAAGTCCACACAGTGTAAAATTGCTAAGATTGAGAAACATTGCTCTAAAATAGACAGAACAGAGTTGGAAGGGACCTAGAGAGGTCTTCTAGTCCGACCCCCTGCTCGGGCAAGTGACTCTATACCATTTCAGACAAATGGTTGTCCAGTCTCTTCTTAAAAATCTCCAACGTTGGAGCACCCACAACTTCTGGAGGCAGGTCGTTCCACTGGTTAATTGTTCTGTCTGTCAGGAAAGTTCTCCTTAGTTCTAGGTTTGATCTCTCCTTGATTAGTTTCTATCCACTGCTTCTTATTCTGTCTTCAGGTGCTTTGGAGAAGAGGTTGACCCTCCTTCTTCTTTGTGGCAGCCCCTCAAATATTGCAAGACTGCTATCATATCACCTCTCGTCCTTCTCTTCATTAAACTAGACATACCCAATTCCTGCAATCGTTCTTCGTATGTTTTAGCCTTCAGTCCAATCATCTTTGTTGCTCTTCTCTACATTCTTTCTAGAGTCTCAACGTCTTTTTTACATCGTGGTGACCAAAACTAGATGCCGTATTCCAAGTCTGGCCTTACCAAGGCCTTGTAAAGTGGTATCAACACTTCATGTGATCTTGATTCTATCCCTCTGTTAATGCAGCCTAGCACTGTGTTGGCTTTTTTGGCCAATCTACTATGAAACAGGCTCTGTGTTTATATTTTGGAAACTGCTAAAGAGGTTTTGGGGAGCCTTTCCTGATTTTAGGAGTCTATATTTAATGTTCATTGTTACTGTTGAACTTGCGGTTTCGTATTCGTTTACTGCTGTAATGGTGTTTACTTCTACAGTTTTGGCTTATCACGGATGTTTTAAATTGTTCTGCCATATACTGCGTAAGATGTGGAATTTTGTTTTATTTTGTTCCAGCAGGGTAGAAATGTTTAAATAAATAAATATGGTTGCGTAATTACAATGACAGTAAAACGGAAAGCAACAGAAAAATACAGAGGTCCAATTCAGAAGGAGAACATCACCAAGGGAATGCACAGCTTTGTAAACTTTGTATATTAGGGTGAAAGAGAATGTAAATGTTCCAATATCTCAGGGGTTGCCCCAAAGAAGAGGGAGTCAAGCTATTCTCCAAAGCACCAGAAGGCAGGACAAGAAGCAACGGATGGAAAATAATCAAGGAGAGAAACAACCTAGAACTAAGGAGAAATTTCCTGACAGTGAGAACAATTAACTAGTGGAACTGCTTGCCTCCAGAAGTTGTGGGTATTCCAACACTCAAGGTTTTTAAGAAGAGATTGGACAATCATTTGTCTCAAATGATATAAGGCAGTGGTGCGAACCTACGGCACGCGTGTCAGAGGCGGCACTCAGAGCCCTCTCTGTGGGCACGCGCGCCCTCAGCCTAGATCCGCCTCCCCCCACAGCCCCCCCCACAAGCAGACCCCCCTGGAGGAGAGTCGCCCCCAGGAACAGCCCATGCAGAGTAGCGCAGCCAAGGACATGGCAGCCAGGCAGCAGGGACAAGATTCCGCCCTTGCGCCCCATCGCACGCAGGTGCTGCGAGGCGTGGGTGGAGGGCGTGGCTGCCATGGCACTGCAGGGCCATCTGGATGATCTGCTGCAGCGGGCTGTGGAGGTAGTGGGTGGCCCTGCGGGTGGGTGGAGGCGGGCAAAACGGGCGGGTGGCGGGGCGGTTTTTGGGCACTCGGTCTCTAAACGATTCGCCATCACTGGTATAAGGTTTCCTGCCTGAGCAGGGGGTTGGACTAGAAGACCTGTAGGTTCCTTCTAACTCTGTTGTCCTATCCTATCCTATGCTATCCTATCCTACCCTACCCTACCCTACCCTACCCTACCCTACCCTACCCTATCCTGGGACTAATGCACAATAGCGAAAGTTGGATCTGGACTGATCATTGTCATGCAGTATAATCTACATAAATGGGTCAGCAATGCTACAACGACCGTTGTAGTGTCCTCGTGGTCACGTGATCAAAATTCAGACGCTTGGCCACTGGCTCATATTTATGACGGTTGCAGTGTCCCCTGGGGTCACGTGATTCTCTTTGGCGACCTTCGGACAAGCAAAATCAATGGGGGAAGCCAGATTCACTTAACAACGAGGTTACCAATTTAACAAACTGCAGTGCATCCAGTTTTGGTCACCACGACATAAAAAAGATGCTGAGACTCTAGAAAGAGTACAGAGAAGAGCAGCAAAGATGATTAGGAGACTGGAGGCTAAAACATATAAGGAACGGCTGCTGGAATTGGGTATGTCTAGTTTAATGAAGAGAAGGACGAAGGGGGACATGATAGCAGTCTTCCAGTATCTCAGGGGCTGCCCCAAAGAAGAAGGAGTCAAGCTATTCTCCAAAGCGCCTGAAGGCAGGACAAGAAGCAACCGATGGAAACTGATCAAGGAGAGAAGCAATCTGGAACTAAGGAGAAACTTCCTGACAGTTAGAACAATCAACCAAGGGAACCACCTGCCTCCAGAAGTGGTGAATGCTCCAACACTGGGAAGTTTTTAAGAAGAGACTGGACAGCCATTTGTCTGAAATGGGATAGGGTTTCCTGCCTGAGCAGGGGCTTGGACTAGATGACCTCCAAGGTCCCTTCCAACTTTATTGTTATTATTACTTCACCAACGTGGCAAGAAAAGTCGTGAAACGGGGGGCGGGGAGAACTCACTTAACAAATGTCTGACTTAGCAACGTTGAAATTTGGGCTTGACTGTGGCCCCCTAAGGTGAGGGCTACCTGTATGACTTTTCATTACACTTTGTAGAAGCAACTCTACAAACGCTCTAGGAGGTTTCTATCAACCTTCTAAATACCTGAGTTTTACCTAACCTTCCCCCCCACCACCACAACCAATATTTATTATTTATTTATTTATTTTATTTATTTATTTAATTGCATTTATATCCCGCCCTTCTCCTTTCGGACTCAGGGCGGCTAACAATCAATTAAAATACAAAAAATACAAAACCCCTGTTAAAATTAATTAAAAAGAAATATTTAACTGTGATCTAATTAAAAGTAATTAAAACCCCTTTAAAATCCCTTAGGCCAGTCCCGCAAGCTGGAACAGCCAAGTCTTGAGGGCGCGGCGGAAGGAAGGGAGATCAGGGATCACCCTGATCTCTGGGGGCAGTTCGTTCCAGAGGGTGGGTGCTCCCACAGAGAAGGCCCTCCCCCAAATACTCACGGCTGGTTTGTAAGTGAATTCTTGTTGAGACCTCTCCAAAATTTCAATGGCTTCAGTATAGGACATTCTTCAAAAAAACCAAAACAAAACGTTTAAGTATAGGCAATTATTTGCTAGAAGGTACATGTGTTCAGTAGTGGCCAAAATTGTGGAAACCTTTTGGGAAAAAGTGTATTTTTGAGGTTTGATGGCTAATATCACCCCTTTTTTTCTGGAGTAGTACCATAAAATTATATATCAATGGAAAGATAATTTAATCGAGAATGTAATGCAACATAGTTTGTTCAATTATCTGTACTATATTCTATGAAAAATTATAGCCAAATAACCAGAAAAAGGAAGCACAACTTGCTTAGGTTGATCTCAGGTAGCTTTCCTTCATCCGATTGTAGCCAATGAGCACGAGTGTTTAGAGAGCCAATCGGGTGTCATCTTGTTTTGGCCATGAGCCAATCAGATCACAGGAGGATCCAGTTACTGATGTCATGTATTGAAGCTGAGAGGAGGACATTTGTCAGTGTGTTATGTGATCGCTATCCAGTCGGTTGGTTTTTTTTTTGTGTTTTTTCATTTAGTGAGCTTGTAAAACGTAATAAAATTAAAGTCATGGTGCAAAGAGCTGACTGGTCGCCCAGAAAGCGATGTAAAATAGTATTATTAAGTGAACAAGGCTACAGTTATAAAGACATTAGAAGAAAAATGGATGGAAACTTAACCAAAGGTGGCATTTTTACTGTACACTTTTCCCAAAAGGTTTCCACAATTTTGGCCACTACTGTATGTTTATGAATTAAGCAGCAACAGCAACAAACCCCTTTTTCTTTTCAATATACTTACATTAAAAAACGGTTCTTCAACATTTTTTCTAATTTGGCCTAATGAGGATAGGGAACAGAAGGGAAAGGAAAAATTAAAATTGACAGTGTCAGAAACAGATAAGGTTTTGAGAAAAAAAAGAAGTTTTTCAGAAGTCATTGGGCTGCTCAAAGGCATCAAACTGAAAGAAAACAATTTCTGTTTCAGGAGAAACTAAGGAATTTGAGGGGGGAAAAAACTTGAGAAAAATCTGAGAAAACCTTGGAGAAATCCAAAGAGTCAAAGGAAAGCAAATTTTGCCTCAAGATAAGCCCACCTGAAGTGTTTTAAATGTGGTTTGAATTAATAAAGTACCGTATGTGGCACTGTGCCCATACCAGGGGTAGGCAACCTTGGCTCTTTTATGACTCGTGGACTTCAACTCCCAGAATTCCTGAGCCAGCTTGGGAGAACTATGGCCCCTTCATGACTTGTGGACTTCAACTCCCAGAATTCCTGAGCCATCATGCGGAAATTATGGCCCCTTCATGACTTGTGGACTTCAACTCCCAGAATTCCTCAGCCAGCATGGGGGAATTATGGCCCCTTCATGACTTGTGGACTTCAACTCCCAGAATTCCTCAGCCAGCATGGGGGAATTATGGCCCTTTCATGACTTGTGGACTGGAACTCCCAGAATTCCTGAGCCAGCATGGGGGAACTAGGGCCCCTTCATGATTTGTAGACTTCAACTCCCAGAATTCTTCAGCCAGCATCAGGGAACTATGGCCCCTTCATGACTTGTGGACTTCAACTCCCAGAATTCCTCAGCCAGCATGGCTCAGCTTGGAAACCTCTCCCTTTCCCCTCAATTCCTGGCTCAGGAATTCTGGGAGTTGAAGTCCATGAGTCATAAAAGAGCCAAGGTTGCCTATCCCTGGCCTAAACCATTTCAAACAAGGGAAAGCATTCTTGCATTTTTACAGAAACCATACAAATCTACACACAAAGCTTGTCTAGTTCAGTGTTCGGGGCAGCCAATTATATGATCCTAGGAACAGGCTCACTCACAGAAAATGAAACAAAATAATGATGTCCCAGTATAATCAATGACAAATTGGATCCTTAGAAATAACAGCCATTAGTAGCTTTATTTTTCTCCACGTACTCAGCTTTACAACCATTTGTTTCGCGAGACTTATGACTGGTCCTTGCAAGTACAGGCAGGCCTCGGCTTACAACAGTTCGTTTAGTGACCGTTCAAAGTGGAAAAATGTGACTTATGACCTTTTTCACAGTTACAACTGTTTTTCACAGTTACAACTGTTTTTCACGGTCCTGTGTAAGGAGTGCAGAGTTCACTTAACAATAATAATAAAGTTGGAAGACACCTTGGAGGTCATCTAGTCCAACCCCCTGCTCAGGCAGGAAACCCTATACCATTTCAGACAAATGGCTGTCCAGTGTCTTCTTAAAAACTTCCAGTGTTGGAGCATTCACAGCTTCTGGAGGCAGGTTGTTCCACTGGATAATTGTTCTGACTATCAGGAAATTTCTTCTTAGTTCTAGGTTGCTTCTCTCCTTGATTAGTTTCCATCCGTCGCTTCTTGTCCTGCCTTCAGGCGCTTTGGAGAATAGCTTGACTCCCTCTTCTTTGGGGCAGCCCCTGAGATACTGGAAGACTGCTATCCTGTCCCCCCTCATCCTTCTCTTCGTTAAACTGGACATACCCAATTCCAGCAACCGTTCCTTATATGTTTTAGCCTCCAGTCCCCTAATCATCTTTGTTGCTCTTCTCTGCACTCTTTCTAGAGTCTCAACATCTTTTTTACATCGTGGTGACCAAAACTGGATGCAGTATTCCAAGCGTGGCCTTACCAAGGCCTTGTAAAGTGGTATTAACACTTCATGTGATCTTGATTCTATCCCTCTGTTAATGCAGCCTAATGATCAGGGCATTCGCTTAGTAACCTCCACAAAGGACTGTAAAATCAGGCACAGTTACGTGGTAGCTTGCTTAACAACCACCATGACATAGGACCATAATTCTGGGCTCAATTATGGCCCTAATTCGAGGACCACAATTGAGGTCAGAATTTACGTTGCTAAATGAGACATTTGTTAAGTGAGTTTTGCCCCATTTTATGTCTTTTCTTTGCCATATTTGTTAAGAGAACCGCTGAAGTTGTTAAGTTAGTAACGCGGTTGTTAAGTGAATCTGGCTTCCCCATTGACTTTGCTTGTCAGAAGATCGCAAAAGGGGATCACATGACCCTGGGACACTGCAACCGTCGTAACTGTGAACCAGTTGCCCAGCATCTGGATGTAAATCACGTGACCATGGGGATGCTGCAATGATCATTAGTGTGAAAAATGGTCATCAATCGCTTTTTTCAACAGTCACTAAATGAACTGTTGTAAGTTGAGGACTACCTGTATTTGCATCGCCCCGCCCCTTTATTGGCCTGGTTCAGCCAAGGTCCCACTGCTTGGTATCTTCATTTGATGCCCTCTGAAGGCATCAAGTCCCTGAATCAAAAGAGCCATAGCCCTGAATCAAAAGATCCAAAGGTAGGGAAGAATATTGGTGTCCGAGAGAACACTAAAAAATTGATTTAAGCCTGGCTGTAATTAAGTTACAGGAAAGGTAGCAGAAAATTATATATACATTAGAAAAAATTTACCTCATGCCCAGGAGCTATACGTTTATGAAAAAAGGCAGCATCTTGAGGGCATTTGGCTAGCACTCTGTCTGTCACGGTCTTGAAAAGATCTTCTATAACCTAAGGAAAGGGGAAAAAAATCAGGTTAGAAGAGAAGAATATAACCCCAAATAAACGTTCTACTTCTTAAAAAATAAGTACGTGATAAATCAATTGCATCAGGTTTATTACAATAGCAGGTAAGTTGGTGACTTACCTGAAGGGGTGATTTTGGATCAGTCGCTTTCTCTCAGCCCTAAACCCATTTCACAGAGTGAGACCATTATATACGTTGGGTTGTAAAAAGTAAAGGAGATAGACAGACAGACAGACAAATAGATAGATAATAAATAGATAGATAGATAGATAGACAGACAGACAGACAGACAGACAGACAGACAGACAGACAATGAATGGGTAAAGAAATAAGATAGATAGATAGATAGATAGATAGATAGATAGATAGATAGATAGATAGATAGATAGATAGATAGATAGATAGATAGATAGATAGATAGACGTATAGGTAGGTAGATAGATGTATAGGTAGGTAGATAATAGATGAATAGATGGATAGATAGATAATGATAGTTAATGGATGGATAAAGAGATAGATAGATAGATAGATAGATAGATAGATAGATAGATAGATAGATAGATAGATAGATAGATAGATAGATAGATAGATAGATAGATAGATAGATAGATAGATAGATAGATAGATAGATAGATAGAGCTGTGGTGGAGCAGTGGTTAGAGTGCAGTATTTCAGGCTAACTCTGCCCCCAGCCAGGAGTTCGATCCTGACCAGCTCAAGGTGGACTCAGCCTTCCATTCTTCCAATGTCAGTAAAATGAGGACCCAGATTGTTGAGGGCAAATATGCTGACTCCGTAAACCGGTTAGAGAGGGCTGTAAAACACTGTGAAATGGTATATAAGTCCAAATGCTATTGCTATTGCTATTGCTATTGCTATTGCAAGAAAGAAAGAAAGAAAGAAAGAAAGAAAGAAAGAAAGAAAGAAAGAAAGAAGGAAGGAAGGAAGGAAGGAAAGAAAGATATAATAAACAGAGATAGACAGATAGATATGAGAGGAGGAGGAGAAGGAATGGTGTAGAAGGAGAAGGAATAGAGGAGAAGGAGAAGGAGAAAAGGGGATGAGACGGAACAAGTGATAAGGAACACTTAAATATTAGAATCAACTCTCTTTGTCCAAGTTGCTGTCTTGTACAATGTGTGTTCTACAAGAGTGACTTATAACCAGAACTCACATTTATAACAGTATCCCCACAACCTCATAATCTAAATTTGGGTGTTTGGCCACCGGTCTATATTTACATTATTTGCAGTGTCCTGGGATACGTGATTGCCATTTACAACCTATCAGGCCGGTTTCTGACAAGCAACATCAATGAAGGAAGCCACATTCACTTAACAACCGCATGATTCGCTTAACGACTGTGGCAGAAAAGGTCACTGGGCACGATTCACTAAACACCTGCCTTGTTTAGCAATGGGAATTCTTGTCCCGATTGTGGTCGTAAGCCGAGGACCACTTATATCTCACATATGGGGGGGGGGAAATAGGAAATATCCTAATTTCGTGGTATAGTATTCCTCTGTTGTGCCTCAGAGCTGGGAGATGTAAACATCTCACACTTTTCCTTTTTCCAAACACGAGAGAGAGGTTTATCTTGTGCTGTGTGTGAGAATGGGATGGCGAACCTGTGGCCAAAAACCGCTTCCGTTTCCCCAAAGGAGAGGAACTTTCCATTCCACAAACTTCCACCGTGAGCAAAAACTGCACGGTCAACAAAAGCCGGCAAATATTTCCATTCTTCTTTGCTGGAATTACTGTATGTCCAGGAAACCATTTTTTTAAAAATGTAAAACCCTAGCAAAATGCAAGTCCTTTTTTTTCCCCTCCTCCCAGCAAAAGAAGGGTGTCCTGGCCCTTGAGGTAGCAAAATCTGGCTAGAATGAAAAAAAGAATGAAAAAGAGGAGGGGAAAAAAGGAAGGTGACAGTGTGGGTGGAAGAAAGAGCTGGTAAAAAGGGAGAAAAATGCTGGAAGAGTAGAGGAAAATTGATGGGTCCTCTTCTTTTGAATCTTCAAGCTCCTTGAGCCGTTTGGCTATTTATTTTTTAAATTATTTTCCTGCCTTATAAATAGTGAAATCAATAACAGCATTCCACTGTAAATTAGAGCAGCATCTTTAGTATTTATTTGGTATTTTCCCCCCACCTTTTTACTTTATAAGTACCGGTAACTCAAAAGGCGAACATATGTAATAATTCTTCCTCTCCTATTTTTCCCACAACAACCCTGTAAGGTGGGTTGGGCTGAGGAACAGTGACTGGCCCAAGGTCACCCAGCTGGCTTTCATGCCTAAGGCGGGACTAGAACTCTCAATCTCCTGATGATTGGTTCAAAGTCACCCAGCTCGCTTTCTTGCCTAAGGCGGGACTAGAACTCTCAATCTCCTGGTGATTGGTTCAAAGTCACCCAGCTGGCTTTCGTGCCTAAGGCGGAACTAGAACTCTGAATCTCCTGGTGATTGGTTCAAAGTCACCCAGCTGGCTTTCGTTCCTAAGGCGGGACTAGAACTCTCAATCTCCTGGTGATTGGTTCAAAGTCACCCAGCTGGTTTTCGTGCCTAAGGCGGGACTAGAACTCACCGTCTCTAATGATTGGCCGAAAGTCATCCAGCTGGCTTTCATGCCTAAGGCGGGACTAGAACTCTCAATCTCCTAGTGATTGGTTCAAAATCACCCAGCTGGCTTTCATGCCTAAGGCGGGACTAGAACTCTCAATCTCCTGGTGATTGGTTCAAAGTCACCCAGCTGGCTTTCGTTCCTAAGGCGGGACTAGAACTCTCAATCTCCTGGTGATTGGTTCAAAGTCACCCAGCTGGTTTTCGTGCCTAAGGCGGGACTAGAACTCTCAATCTCCTGATGATTTGTTCAAAGTCACCCAGCTGGCTTTCGTGCCTAAGGCGGGACTAGAACTCCCAATCTCCTGGTGATTGGTCCAAAGTCACCCAGCTGGCTTTCGTGCCTAAGGCGGGACTAGAACTCTCAATCTCCTGGTGATTGGTTCAAAGTCATTCCTCCTATAAAATGTGGGCGGGGGGGGGGGAACCTTGAATTAAATACACAACATCTGCAACTCACAGAAACACACCCAGAAAAAGCTCTGTTTACAGTTTCTCCTGGGGAACCTTACCTGCATTATATCCTGAAGCGTGTCAACAAAAAATACTTCGGCCTCCACCATATAAAACTCCGCTAGGTGTCTGCGGGTTTGAGAGTTGTCTGCTCGGAAGGTTGGGCCGAAAGTGAACACTTTAGTAAATGCCCTGCAATGTGAAAAACAACACAAAAGAGATTGAAATGCTGATTTCCGGCTAGTGTGCACTCATACTGAGACACCCGAACGTCGAAATGTTCACATACAGGTTAGTCCTTGACTTTTCAATGTCCACTAGCCAGATAATATCAATCTTTCTTGAGGTCTGAGCAAAGTTTTAAGCAAGTGATATGGGGTGAGATGTGACATGTGACAGTCTTCCAATATTTGAGGGGCTGCCATAAAGAAGAGGGGGGTCAAGCTATTCTCCAAAGCACCTGAAGAAGGCTGGACAAGAAGCAACGGATGGAAACTAATCAAGGAGAGAAGCAACCTAGAACTAAGGAGAAACTTCCTGACAGCAAGAACAATTAATCAGTGGCACAACTTGCTTCCAGAAGTTATGAATGCTCCAACACTGGAAGTTTTTAAGAAGGGATCTGTTATTCTGATAAGTATGAGCCAGCAATGTACTGCAGCTACTAATGCAATCCTAAATTGCATTAACAGAGGGACAGAATCAAGATCACATGTTAGTATCGCTTTATAATGCCTCGGTTATGCCACACTTGGAATATTGCATCCAGTTTTGGTCCCCAGGATATAAAAAAGATGTTGAGACTCTGGAAAGAGTGCAGAGAAGAGCAACAAAGAGGATCAGGGGACTGGAGGCTAAAGTACATGAAGAACAGTTGCAGAAATTGGATATGTCTAGTCTAGTAAAAAGAAGAACTAGGATTGACATGATAGCAATCTTCCAACATCTGCCACAAAGAAGAGGGAGTCAAGCTATTCTCCAAAGCACCTGAAGGCAGGAAAAGAAGCAACGGATGGTAACTAATCAAGGTTAGAAGCAACCTAGAACTAAATCACTGTTTGAAGCACAGACTGGCAGGCAGCTGCTTCAGACTTTGAATCACGTTAGTGCACATTTGAACTCAAAAACCCAGGGTTTTGAACCCCAAATAGAGCAGATTCAAGCTGGAAAAAAACCCCCAAAAGGCTTGGTATGCTAAGTTCTTTTGTTTTTTGTTTTAAAACAAGAATCAAACATCATCTGTCTCTCTGTCCTTGGAGCAATCTGAACGCTGCAAGGGACGCAACAGAGATTAAGCCTATCAGCAATAAGATGGTGAGGAAACAGCTGAGTTTATTACTTTTTTTTTTTTTGACCTTCCCCAAAAACTAAACAAACCACACCTGGTCTGGAATCTCAGTCGGTACAATTTTGTCCAACAAAGGTCTCAAATAAGAGTTTGCACGAGTACATAAAATTTCCACGGAAGCAAAACAAATGCACTTCCATCGTCCAGGCCACGAAAGAATTCCCAAAATGTACAAACACAATTGAAACCAGAATCGTTGCTTAGCAAGGTGGGTTATTCAGTCAGTCGTGCCCAGTTTTGTGACTTTTGCCACAGTTGTCAACTGAATCACCGCAGTTGTAAAACAAATCATGAGGTCGTTAAGCGACTCACGCTTTCCCTTTGATTCTGCTTGTCGGAAAGAGGATGGGAAGATGGCAAATGGCGATCATGTGAGCTGGGAATGGGCATCCATCATAAATACACAACAAATGACTTTGATCACGTGGCCGTGGGGATGCTGCATCGGTTATAAGTGTGAGGATCAGTTATAGGTCACTTTGTGCAGTGACCTTGTAACCTCCAACTGTCATTAAACGAATAGTTGTCTTGTTGACTAATAAGGTATGTTCTGAATAGGTGAGTTAAGCTTCAGTCTGTTTGTATGCAGATTTGGAACAAGGAATGAAACTAAAACCATCCTTGATTTGTTTGTTTATATAATGTTATGCACAGGTATAGTATAGGGCAGGGGTAGGCAACCTTGGCTCTTTTATGACTCGTGGACTTCAACTCCCAGAATTCCTGAGCCAGCCATGCTGAGGGGAAAGGGAGAGGTTTCCAAGCTGAACCATGCTGGCTCAGGAATTCTGGGAGTTGAAGTCCACAAGTCATGAAGGGGCCAAAGTTTTCCTCATGCTGGCTCAGGAATTCTGGGAGTTGAAGTCCACGAGTCATAAAAGACACAAGGTTGCCTACCCCGGGTACTATAGGTCAGTGTTTCTCAACCTTGACAATTTTAAGGCATGTGGACTTCAACTCCCAGAATTCCACAGCCAGCCATGCTGAGGGGAAAGGGAGGTTTCCAAGCTGAACCATGCTGGCTCAGGAATTCTGGGAGTTGAAGTCCACGAGTCATGAAGGGGCCAAAGTTTTCCTCATGCTGGCTCAGGAATTCTGGGAGTTGAAGTCCACGAGTCATAAAAGACACAAGGTTGCCTACCCCGGGTACTATAGGTCAGTGTTTCTCAACCTTGACAATTTTAAGGCATGTGGACTTCAACTCCCAGAATTCCACAGCCAGCATTGCTGGCTGTGGAAGTCTGGGAGTTGAAGTCCACATGCCTTAAAATTGTCAAGGTTGAGAAACACTGCTATAGGTGGTACTTGGCTCAATAGTAGTAACTGCGAAAAGGAATCCTAGTGGACAATCACTTAAATAGGAGCCAGCAGGGTGCTGCAGCTGCCAAAAAAGCCAATGCAATTCTAAGTTGCATTAGCGGAGGGAGAGAATAAAGATCACGTGAAGTATTAATACCACTTTATAATGCCTTGGTAAGGCCACACTTGGAAAGTTGCATCCTGTTTTGGTTGCCATGATACAAAAAAAATATTGAGACTCTAGAACAGGGGTGTCAAACTCCCGGCCCACGGGCCGGACGCATCTTCGGGAAACCACGTCCACCCCATTGCCAGCAATGGCGAAAAAGCTCCGATATGTTGCGCAATGTCACGTGACGTCGCAAGTTTGACATGTCTGCTCTAGAAAGAGTGCAGAGAAGAGCAACAAAGATGATTAGGGGACTGGAGGCTAAAACATATGAAGAATGGTTGCTGGAATTGGGTATGTCTAGTTTAATGAAGAGAAGGACTAGAGGTGACATGATAGCAGGGTTCCAATATTTGAGAGGCTGCCCCAAAGAAGAGGGAGTCAAGCTATTCTCCAAAGCATCAGAGGGCAAGACAAGAAGCTCCATTTTTATGACCCCGTCATCCCTTAATTTGGGGTAGAGTCGGAGCGACTGGATGGAACTGAATGTTTACTGGCAAGACAAGAAGCAGCGGATGGAAACTAACGAAGGAGAGAAGTAACCTAGAACTATGGAGAACAATTAATCAGTGGAACAGCTTGCCACCAGAAGTTTTGAATGTTCCAACACCGGAGGTTTTTAAGGAGAGATCAGACAACCATTTGTCTGAAATAGTATAGCGTCTTTTGCTTGAGCAGGAGGTTGGACTAGAAGACCTCCAAGGCCCCTTCCAACTCTGTTATTTTGTTATTCTGTAAAACAATGAAAAAATAAACGACTGAGGAGACCAATGTGATGAGCGAGTCTGAAGATAAGACAAAGCAAGAACTGGAAATATCAAGTCTTGATCCTGGAGGAAAAAGAGATAGGGAAGAAAAAAAAGAAAGAAATGAAACCGTGACGTGGATGAGGTTATACTAATCGTAGGTATGAAAAGAAACACCTGGTTGAATGATATAGCAGAAGAGTATTATCAACCAGAGAAAAAAAATGAATATACAGGAAGGATTACTGCAAAAAAAAAAAGTATGGAAAAAAAAAAAGAAGAGTTGCAAAGAATGTGATGAATATGTAATTATTACCAGAATGAAATCCACGCATTCTGAAGTAGCCAAGTTTGAAAATCACTAATCTATTCTAGAGGGAATGAAATGAGGATTGAAATGGGAAAACAAATGCAGGAAGGAAGAGAGAACGGGTTGAGAGAAAACTGGGTGGGCTAGAGGAACGAAACTCTTCCAACAAAGAAAACTGAAATACTTTACAGAAAGACAATGGAAGTAACCCTCAACCTATGACCACGACAGAGCCCGGCATTTCTGTTGCTAAGCGAGACAGTTGTTAAGTGAGTTTTGCCCCATTTTATGACCTTTCTGGCCACCGTTGTTAAATGAATCACTGCAAATGGTAAGTTAGTAACCTGGCTGTAAAGCGAATCTGGCTTCCCCCCCATTGACTTGGCTTGTCAGAAGGTCGCCAAAGGGGATCCCCTGACCTCCGGGACACTGCGACCGTCATAAATACGAATCAGTTGCCAAGCATCTGAATTTTGGGGATGCTGCAACAGTTGTAACTGTGAAAACTGGTCAGAAGTAGTGGTAGTAGTAGTAGTAATAACAATAACAATAATAATAATAATAATAATAGTTGGAAGGGACCTTGGAGGTCATCTAGTCCAACCCCCTGCTCAGGCAGGAAACCCTATACCATTTCAGACAAATGGCTGTCCAGTCTTTTCTTAAAAACTTCCAGTGTTGGAGCATTCACCGCTTCTGGAGGCAGGTTGTTCCACTGGTTAATTGTTCTAACTGCCAGGAAGTTTCTCCTTAGTTCTAGGTTGCTTCTCTCTTTGATGAGTTTCCATCTGTTGCTTCTTGTCCTGCTTTCAGGTGCTTTGGAAAATAGCTTGACTTCCTCTTCTTTTGGGGCAGCCCCTGAGATATTGGAACACTGCTATCATGTCCCCCCTCGTCCTTCTCTTCGTTAACCTAGACATACCCAATTCCAGCAACTGTTCTTCACGTGTTTTATCCTCCAGTCCCCTAATCATCTTTGTTGCTTTTCTCTGTACTCTTTCTAGAGTCTCAACATCTTTTTTACATTGTGGTGACCAGAACTGGATGCCGTATTCCAAGTGTGGCCTTACCAAGGCATTGTAAAGTGGTATTAACACTTCACATGATCATGATTCTATCTTTCTGTTAATGCAGCCCAGCACTGTGTTGGCTTTTTTGGCAGCTGCAGCACACGGCTGGCTCCTATTTAGGTGACTGTCCACTAGGACTCCAAGATCCCTGTCATAGTTGCTACTATTGAGCAAGGTACCACCTATACTATACCTGTGCATTTGGTTTTTCTTGCCTAAATGTAGAACCTTGCTTTTTTCACCATTGAATTTCATTTTGTTAGATAGCGCCCAAGTCTTTTCAGTGCTGTTGTAACTTCGAAGTCACTAAATGGATGTTAGTTATGTCGAGGACTCCGCGTAAGTAATCAGTAAAATAATCCAGCTAAAATGCTGGCCCTGTTTAAAAATCTCTATTCTGATGTCACCTCGCCCTGTTTACAACATCACCCAGTAGAATAAACAAACAGGCCTCTACACAGGATGCTGGCTTAGTGCTTCACGCTTTGTTCTTCAACAGCGTGTTCCTTTTTTTATTTTTAAAAACACCCAAACAAACAAGAGGTGTTCTAAATAGATCAAATGCAAACTAAATTTAGAGCAGCTATACATAGAGATATTTGGACAGAATTCCTTCTTCTTTGGAGCCAGAATGCCACTCCCAGATCTTCAAAGGAGCTTGATAACCCAACTTTTAATGGATTATGGCAGGTTAGGTTGATCTGGACAATATTTTAGGGGGGGGAAAGGTTTCTAAGAGACAGGTAGTCTTCAATTTACAGCCATTTGCTCAGTGACTGTTCAAAGTTACAACAGCCTTGGAAAAAGTGATTTTTTGACTATTTTTCACATTTGTGACTGTTGCAGCATCCCCATGGTGACCGAATTTGGACACTTTTGGCAACTGGCATGTACTTACGACGGTTGCAGTGTCCTGGGGTCACGTGATCCCCTTTTGCAACCTTATCAAATGTCTTTGATAAGAGTAAAATAAGAAAACAAGGCTTCTTAACTCTTCCCCCCTTGAACCCACGTCTTCTGAGAGGCATCTTCCGAAAAAGGGAGCCTGCTTTGTTGTGAAATTAAGAATGTTTGCTTTAATCAATTATGATTTGGATCTATCCAGCGCCATCTTGGAATAATTACAGGTAATCCTCGATTTATGACGGCGCCGAAAAAAGTGGCTCACAACCATCCTTCCACTTACGACCATCATTAGCGTCTCCACAGATCAGAATTTGGGGGTTTGGAAACTGGCATGTATTTACGACAGTTGGAGGCATCCTGGGGTCATGTGATTGCTATTTGAACCCTTCCCAGCCGGTTTCTGACAAAGTCAAGGGAGAAAGCTGGATTCGCTTAACGACAAGGGATTTCCTTAACAAGGTGGCAAAAAAGGTTGCAAAATCAGACACAACCACTTAACCATCTTACAATTAGCAGTGAAAATTCTGATCCTGATTGTGGTTCTAAGTCGAAGTTTACCTGTAATTCATGAGGTAAAAAAAAGAGAAGGTAGCTAAATCTGGTTTATAACTCATCTTAATAATAATAATAATAATAATAATAATAATAATAATAATAATAATAAAAAAACCAAAAACAACAACAATAATAATAATGATGTTGGAAGGGACCTTGGAGGTCATCTAGTCCAACCCCCTGGTCAGGCAGGAAACCCTATACCATTTTGGACAAATGGCTGTCCAGTCTCTTCTTTAAAACTTCCAGTGTTGGAGCATTCACCGCTTCTGGAGGCAGGTTGTTCCACTGGTTAATTGTTCTAATTGTCAGAAAATTTCTCCTCAGTTCTAGGTTGCTTCTCTCTTTGGTTAGTTTCCATCCGTTGCTTCTTGTCCCGCCTTCAGGCGCTTTGGAGAATAGCTTGACTCCCTCTTCTTTGTGGCAGCCCCTGAGATACTGGAACACGGCTATCATGTCCCCCCTCATCCTTCTCTTCGTTAAACTAGACATACCCAATTCCAGCAACCGTTCCTTATATGTTTTAGCCTCCAGTCCCCTAATCATCTTTGTTGCTCTTCTCTGTACTCTTTCTAGAGTCTCAACATCTTTTTTACATCGTGGTGACCAAAACTGGATGCAGTATTCCAAGTGTGGCCTTACCAAGG